CGATGAACAATATGGCTGCCTTACTACTAGTTGTGTCCGTAAACTTGGCCGTATAGCATAATCATAGCTGTTGTGGCCAATGCTGCGACCGGCCACGGCCACAATTGGCCGTGGCCATCTAATGGCGTGCATGAAGTTTAGCACCTTAACTGAAAAACCATAAAAATATCGAGCTACATACTAATTATATATTCACTCATTTAGAGTTACGAATTAGTTTGTAGCTCGATATTTTCATGGTTTTACAGTGATGGTCGTGTTAACTTTATATGAAGTTATCCCTGGTGAAAAAATAAAAAGCGCGGCACATTTTCCACATTGTGGATTCGAATCGCTTGAAGTGGTCGTGTTAACTTCTAAGTTTTTATACCTGTTGCTTTAGTTCTACGAATTTTCTTATCATCGCTCTCTAATATGCTCATTGTGAGACCTTGAGCCTTCCGTTTCGATTCCGTATACTGGCAATCAGTGGCGGCGCTAGGCGTCGGCGACGTCCGACGGCTCGCGCCTAGGGGGGCCCTCGCAAAAATTTTTTACAAGTTACCTATTTATTTTCGTTTCTCTGGCCTGGCTTAGGTAGCCGACCCCGAACAATTCGTGTAAAAAGCTAAGCAGATGATAATGACTTTTATTATTTTCGAACACACGTGCGTGATGGAAGCGAGTAGTACTTTACGGGTATTCAGAATCGTCTGTCTGGCAACACTATTTTTGTAATTAACTTTCTATGTTTGTTATTATTTCTTGTCATCATTTGATTATCAACAATAAAACGCCTTTACTCATACGTTATTTCATAATTTGGCTCGTTAAATTAAGTATTTAACGGTTTTTTACTGCGAATTAAAATAGGCTTCGCGGACTTGATGTCGCCGACGTCCACATGTGGTCTAGCGCCGCCACTGCTAGGGTTGCCACCCGTACTTTATTATAAAGTATTGTACGTTATTTCGGGTAATTGTACTCTATACTTTATGACAACAATAAAGTACGCGAAAATACTTTATTTTATGTGGTTTGATTACTCGGCGATTAACTTTGCATAAAATATACAAAAAGGGATTGATTGGATTTTTTTTTGCGTAAAACGGACAGACTGTATGTATAATATGCCGCCCTTGGCTCATTCTTGTAACATTGTCGTGGCTGTATGGCTTTGTGCCATGACCTTTCCTGTTGCGGAAAAGAACTGCATAATTTTAGAAACTACAAATTATTTATTAGAAGTTGCTAGAAGCAACGTAAAATATATTTTTAAGCTTACTTATAAAGTAGAATAAAAAGTACTTTATTTTGGACACAATGTACTTTTTTTTTCTACTTTCAAGTTCCAATATACTTTATTTGGACAAAAAAAAGGTGGCAACCCTAGCCACTGCTGGCAATACACTCTATTTTTAAGTACCAGTGGAATTCAACTATACGACTCACATTCAGCGATTCATTTTTATATTATAGAAGATAGAACACGTTCACAACACTAACGTAGTGGTTCTGACAATCTACAAGTTTGAATTTTGGCGCGAAGGGGCATGATAGTTTTCAGGAAGTTACAGAATTAAGTACCGCCCCTCTAACATCTTTTGGTTGGTTTTTGCAGCAGCCGCAACTTTTACGTCTTTTCGAAATTTTAAATATTTGAGTAGTAATTTGAAATTAATAAATAAAAAGTCGCTTCACTTTCGCAGAAAACGTGTCTAAAAAAGATAGCGCGGAGGGCACGTGGTGATGTGAACCAATGGCAACAACTTCCAATCGAAATGCAGATTTTTCGAGCTACGGTGTTGCCAGTTCTGTGACACGCACTTCTAGATGACACATTTGTGTAGGTTGTAAGTAGACACCTTTTTATGAATTGAAGCGTTGTTTGACAGTTCTTGGTGGTTATCGCAAGTTTTATATTCGAGAAACGTTTTATATCAGGGGGCCAATCGCCTAACGGAAATGCTTTGGAAAACGCTAACGCTTACGATTTTATTTTGTTATTTCTAGCCGCCTGAGGTATTCAAATGCGAGGCATTTGAATCTTTCTTTCTTTTTCTTTTGCATTGGTTATAACAATATTAAAAAAAATGAGCGTGAGGTATTCGAAAACCTCAGGCGGCTAGAAATAACAATATAAAATCGTAAGCGTTAGCGTTTCCCAAAGCATTTCCGTTAGGCGATTGGCCCCCTGTTCCTGTTGGTTAAATTTCGTTCGCTAAAATATTTGCTCATTTTTTTATTTCAATTGTGATAGAATTTGGGAAAACGAAGTTACGGAATGAATATCGAAGGGCGGGTAGGGCAATGTCAATCTGTACAGTTTTACGGTTTTGGGCAGTTCAAGTACACATTTCAATCATGAAAAAAAATAAAAAATAGTAAAACGTACATTGAAATGTGCACTGCAAATGTGTACTTGAACTGGCCAAAACCGTTCTATTGGATTTTTCACCTGCGCAATTTATAACTTGAAAACGGTAAGTAATACAAAAAAATTGTTTATACAAAAGTTGTTGGTAATTATGTACGAAACAACTTTGTCATTCAAAGTTTTCCATTAAAATGATATTTTCAGGGTGAAAAAGTGAAAAAACACTTTTTTTGAGACTTTAGCGCCACCTACAATGCGCATTTTTTGTTGTGCGAGATTGCAACAATGACATAAATTGTAGCACTCAACGCCCTCTACAATTATGGTCGAAAAAACAGTATCTAAAATGCAAACAAAAGAAAAATGCGTTTTAAAAAAAATTTTGACGGTTTTTTTGAGTTTTTCAAAAAACGCCTACGAGTTGAACATGCCCTTCGCCAAGGTGGCTTACTGACGTCATTTGGCAACAGAAAAAACAAGACTTACCCTTTAGGTTTTTTTTTACTGTAACGATATTTTTTTCGACAGATTGACTGTACTACAAGCTTTAGCATTCAGGAAGAAATATGACGTCTAAATGTCATTTTTTTGTCGTGAAAGGACTACGATTTGATAATGTAAAGCGGACCGTGTTGTTCAGATAACTAATAGTTAGGAACTTTTATTGGGGTAAGTGGAATATCATCTGTTTCAATGCAGACTTCGCAATACGCCAGGAATATGGATCAGGATCAAGACGCTGGCCTGAAGTGTTGTGCCAGCCACGTAAATTTTAACTTGCCGGAGTGATTGATTCAGCCAGGCAAATTTGGAAATCTGGAGGACGGAAGCAGGCGATTGAATGCCCTGCTAAAACAGGAGGACGTTCAGCTGATAACCTGGTAAGCACCTAGTCACCTAAGTCACTCAGGTAGGTTTTAAAAGGTACCATCAAAGTTGCTAATCCTACACGTTTTTGTTTCAGTGACGGGAAATTTTATATTTTGGCTTTTATCTGTTTGGAATTTGTAAAATTCGAACGGGTGACGTGCCACACGTCACCTGCACCGGCTGGTTGTTGTCCACCACCACCTTATTAAATCGCTGAATATCTGGAAGAGGCACTGAGTATTCTCACATAAGTATTTCGTGTCATAGAGCGGAACACACGAGGTAGTTGTATTTATTCCTGAATTAATGTTAGTGCGAACGGTGGTATCTCCATGTATGGACCCTTTGTTAATATAAAACTGTAACTAGGTATACCTTTTGCGGCCCAACGCACACACAACCAAATAGAGCCCATGTAATCGTGATTTAGTTTTTTTTTGTATTTGTGAGACCTAAATAACAATTTAGACCGTTCAACCTGTAACATCCTTTATTTAACACCTGCAGTTTCTTTCATTATAGGATCCAGTCATTCTTCCATACAAATCTGACCAATTGTACCTGAAATATTTATCACTCATCATATTTACATTTACGTGAAGAAAAATACGCAGAGTTCGTTTAAATCATAAATAAAAATTATGATCCACTTGTTTAACATGAAAATGTCGTATACGTTTAAATTAATGGCAACACAAGACTTATTCTGGTAAGTAAATAAATATGCTTGTTTAAATTAATATAAACTACGGAAATCATAAAAAATAAACCTGATAGCAAAAGCTTCAATATAACAAAATATTATATTACGAGCCTATCAAAATACATATAAAATAACTGAAAGGTTTGTCTAAAAGGCTGTGTACCAAACCAAGGCGATGAAATGTCACTGTCATATGTAGAGTTACCAACTTCTTTCTATCAAATATATTATTTTCGAAGCTGTTACCTCTAAAAACATATTAGATGATAAAAACAATATATATAGAAGGGTTGGCAACCCTAGTCATATCCATAGTTACGAAAACAGTCACGTGATTTTTCCTTAAAATGGCTGCCTTTTCGTAGCATGTGCGGACCAGAGACGTTCTAATCAAACTTTGATTTTTTTCTAAAGCGGCCATCATAGCGTGCAGCAGTTGAATATCTGTATTTCCATTTGAAAGCCTATATTATCGACTTTATCATTAAAACGTGGTCTGAACGCACTTTTATCGCGTACATGTGAACGCCTTGCTGTACCTTTAGTATAGCTTCATGACGTCACGCGCTAAACTATTAGCGCCGCAGTATAGCGTAGTATATACTAGTCTGAACACACCTTAATGTAAACTAAAAGGTACATAAAATACCTATTGCTTGAAAAAAATTTAGTCCTATGGATCATTGTCCTTGTTGAATGTCTGCATTTCTATTTGTACCACTGTGAGGCAACGTGCCTACTTATAAAAAGTTGCTTCATAGTTAAGAACCGACAATGCTGCCGTAAAATGGACGCCTAAGTAGTTATTGATAGAATGAATAAAAGAGCACGCACGCACGCCCGTAGGTAATCGATTTCTGGTAGAGCCTCAAGTTAGAATACAAAGTAGGTAGGTACGTATATTTCTTTGCCAAGGTGAATTAGGTGTTCGTAGGTTGAAATCTTAATAAGCAATACCAAAATAAAGATGTTTTATTATACATATCAATAGGTAATATACAAAAATATCATGTTACTACTTAAATGAAACGTAATTTAATAGTACATTACACCTTCTTATGTAGTACTAACCTCAGATCCTGGTGATCATCTTGTTCAAATATTTGATCATGATCCTCCTGGGAGAGATTTAGATCGCTGAACTGCTGATCCAAGGAATTAGACATTTCACTTGATTTTACAACTTGAATGACACTTGTTTTATCACGGAAATGTACGGGAATGTTGAAACACTAAAACTAGGTACGTGATTATTTTTCCTTCCTAGCGTTGCTGTTAGTACGGTCGACAGAAATGTTACGATGACTTGATGACCGGCCGGTTGTACGCGCACACGTGTTTGCTTTTGATGCAGTTTGTTTTCGTATTATTTTTTAAATGGGTAGGAAGTTGGTAGGGTCAGGTGCCGATGGGTACTGCACCAACAGCGACCTGAATTGGTGGGGTTTTTCAATGGATGGTGCCGAGCGAGCGGCGGCCTCGCTCGGTATCGATACGGAGAAGGGAGTAGGCACAAGTGGCACGTGTGCGCCGTGCGTACGGTTCGTCGGCTATCGAGATAACTACTCAACTGAGGCCCGACTCAGATGTGACGTGCGTGACTGAACGAAGCGTACGACGACGCCGGCTCTACTCGGTCCTCCGTACATCCATTTCGTGTAGATTTTGTTGGAGAATGCGCGCGCTGGGCGTGGCTCGGTACGGGGCCCGCGGGGAGAGCGTACACTCTTTAGTGAAGTGGCAGTATCGATTTTATAGAGTATCGATTCTTTTTAACAATAAACCAAAAAAAACAAAATACTTAATACACACATATACACATATAAAGGACCTTTTCACAAAAAAAGGCGACCATTGCTTCTTGTGAAATTCTATTGTTAATTCAGAAAAGTGACAGCATCAACTTAAAGCAAATTCGAAAGTAATTTTGATTTCTTAAGAACTGACTTCAGTTACTCATCTGTTTCACAGTAAAAGGACGTATATTAGGCCCGGCAAATGCGACCATAAAACTCTTTCAGTACCTACCCCCAGATTAGTATTCGTATTACCATCGTCATAGTTTCTAAGCAAACAAAGCAGCGCCCTTATCGGATGTAAGAACAAACTAGCTTCGTCCATAGACACTGGCAGTGGAGAGGGAACCTGCACAGTCCACTGCGCAAGTCTATTTGTCTATGGTTTTGCTTTAGAAGTTTGCCGCTAGCTATATCACGCCAGTCATTTATCAGAGGTTCATATGAAATTTATTTAAGGTGCACTCAAAGCAGTAATATACTTATCTGTCGTGTTGTGTCGTAACTAGGGTTGCCAGGCCATAAAATGCAAAGACCGGACTGCGCACTATATAAGGCCTGATATTTTGCCCTAAAAGCCGGACATATTTATTATATCTGACAAGGGGGGGACAGTCATGCTTACGTCACGCGCCGCGCGCGCCAACAGTTTGCTCTCTTGTCCGCTCGGACGCTCGTCCGCCTATCGTCGTACGAATCGCCACTCTGACAAAAAGCCTGACAAAAGCCGGACAGGCCAAACGCGTACATATTTGGCCGGACGCGACCGCAAAAAGCAAAACATGTGCGGCTAAAGCCGGACGCCTGGCAAGCCTAGTCGTAAAGCGTCAGAGGTATCGGTTTAATACATTTACGACGCTACCGCCGGTAGAGGGGGTTCAATAGATTAATGGCGAATCTTACTGCTGGACTGACAATAAATTTATTTTTTGACGGGCTTGACGGAATTGAATTTCATATTATAAAAAAATCATAAACGAATATTTTAAAATTAGAGATGGCCAAGAAGGAAGGAAGGAAATGGCGGTTATGTTACCCATTACACATTTAGTACGATTGGAATTATTTTTAGGTGTCGCGATCTGTCGTAATCATTTTTTAATCACGCCGTGCCACAGGTTTAATTCAAATTTCCGTGACATCCCCGAAGGCAACCTTTTGAGAGACATGGGGTCCGCATAGGACAATCGCTTAAAAATGGATGGGAAGCGTAGAGGATAGTACCCTATAAATATTGCGGAAGGGCGGGCAACTCGAGCAGTGAATGTGAACGTTGATGCGCATCTTTAAGGGGGCCTCCTTAAACCTACACCTGAATCGCAAGTCCCGGGAACAGCTCAGAGTTTCTCTCTCTCCGACACAACGGATTCGGCACCCGCATGGCGAATCCATGAAGAAGTTCGTCGTCTCTCTCTTATTTCATTTTTGAACCAGCACATAAAGTTCGGAATCACAAAAATTTTCGTAAATGAATGAGTAATGTGAATGTGAATGAACGAACGAATTTTCAAAATGGAAAAGAAACAGTACGGAACGTGCGAATATGCGATTGAAATTTAGTAGTTTTTCGTGGAAATAGAGTAGGCCTCCTGGTTTAACTTTATTCTACGGTTTGTAGTAAGGTCGTATGTATACCATATTTTATCTAAATTCTTTCGGTAGTTTTGCGTGATTGAATTTCGTGGAAATAGAGTAGGCCTCCTGGTTTAACTTTATTCTACGGTTTGTAGTAAGGTCGTATGTATACCATATTTTATCTAAATTCTTTCGGTAGTTTTGCGTGATTGAGTACAAAATTACAAACTGTTACATTTAGGACATTAGTGGGATTGATGGGTTAAAAACAATTGAAGAGGTTTCAGATTTCCTGGTAACCTGATAAAATGTTGTGCATTTAAGGCACATATTATGCTCTAAAATAATATTAACAAGTTATACCATAAATATCAAAATGTAAGCCAGCTTTAATTTATATCTATGAGGAAAACATTTTGTACTCAATCTGGTTCTTAAATAATATTTATGTATATATTACTCCAAATGATTTAAAGACATCGCTTTTACCGTAATGTAATAAATTCCTGGGTGCTCTTCTTGACTTAGAATTTTGCTTTTATATTGGGGCGCTTATCTGTAGATGTAAACTTCATCATGCAGTGTGCAGAAGATTGCAGATATAAATAATCTGTTCCTGCAGTGAGTACGGTTACCACATATGGAACTCAGTAATATTATGGTTTGGTCGTTAGGGGAATTCTGTTCTAGCGGGTAAAATTATACATTATGAGCATATTTATTTCCTTACTGCTGTGGCTAGGCTTGCCAGGTGCTCAGGAATCACGTGGATTCTCCCGAAATTTTATGTGATCTCCAGACTACCGGCAAATAACAAAATCTCCCGACAAACGAACACGACGAATGAGGATGCACTCATCGTTGACCATATTTCTTGAAAATAATAAATCTCCCAACAATGATCCCAAAATCCCGACATTTTTAAAGTTATCCAGATATTTAGTCTTCTTGATTTGGTAACCCTAGCTGTGGCACAGGCCTTCCATGTGGATAGAATTTGATGGAATGATGTGAAGATTAGGCCATGATTCACCACGCGCGCCCAGTGTAGATTGGTGAGTGCAAACGAAATAAGAGTCTTTAATAGCTGCAGCGATTAGTAACATTGACAACCAAATGTTTTAAAGTTATACGTCATATTATACGTCATTGTTGACGACTGATTAATAGGCATTTGCTTTCTATAATAACAATTTATGCAAGTGTTTGAGCTTGTTTCGTTCCAATATCGATAAAGCCCTATCACTAAATGCGATAGCAGTTCGTGAAGTATATTTGTTACTGGGTCCGTGTGACGGCGCCCCGCGCCCATGCGTTTTCCACAGCGTTCGGCCGGGGCCCGCGGAGGGCGGTCGCCCGACACCGCCTACTTCGTCTGGTACAGGCGTCGCCCGCCTCGTGTCCCGCTTCACCTCAAAATTGTAATTTGTCGAGATATCGTCGGTCCAAGGAGAGAAAACGCCCTTCAAACTGTGCTCTAGCTGCCTTTACTATAAATAGTCCTAATAAAATTCCTTTCTTCAATCTAGCTAGATAGATGTATATCATCCATAAATGATATATTCATCAAAAAAAAACTTATTTACATTTTTTGCCAAATTAATTTAAATGATTATTATTATCGCGAAAATAAACATTACATTATAAATAAAAACATAATTGAAATTGAAAAATTACATAAAAAAAATATGTATGTCGCTTCGCGTCATAAATTAAATTTACGATGTGCGAGAGCGTTCGGTACGTTCGAACAGAGCGTATCCACTACACTGAGCTCAACTCTATTCTGTAACGCCCTGCATTAACGCAGGCCACGTCATTGAGTGATTCATTTTCGTTGTCATTGATGCTTCCTCTGCTGAATATATTTGCAAATTATTATTTTTTTAGTTTGCGTAGGTAAGTACGATTCGAAAATTAGATTCTAGGTAGTCGGTGTATAGGGATCTTTTTAAGCATATGGATATTGTTCTCAATCAATATCCATGTTTATTATTCAAGTAGGTATTAGATTTTTTTAGCATAGCTATGCAGTAACCCAAATTGTTATTATTATTGCCATTACCTAGTCTCTGAGTAGGGCCGCTTGCTAGCTCTAGCTTCCGTTTTCTTTTGATCACAAAAGTTTTTTTACCTATAAAACGAAAAATGAAACGACGCCGACGCCCAGATACGAATTCGGGCTGTAAAATAAGGAATAATTTCCTATGTAAAGTATATTCGCGCACACCAATTCCTACTATTATTATTTGGGAAAGTTTGTATAGGTAACGTGAAACACGCCGACATTGCCAGTTTTTTCTAATAATCGTTATTATTTTTGGGTTTTTCAATGGCAACCCGAGTATTTTTTTTATTAGATGTGACTCTTTAAGATCTTAGGAACGTAGTGGCGTATCAAAATCGATAATTTTTTACTGTTAAATTTGTGTTTCGGGATATTTATTATGATGGCATGCAAAGTTATATGGATTTTTTACCACTACGATTTCTGACGACAGTATGGCCTCTGCGTTAAAATATAAAAGACCGTTGAAAGAGTTTATGGCGATTACTAAAGGAACTTAAATGATAAACAGGAAAGGTTCTAGTAAAAATGACTGGGCAATGTTATCCTGTATTTTTTTCCCTTTCCCAATCCCCATCTACTACTAAGAATCTAAAATCTGCATTTAGGCTATCAAAAATGCTATGGCTGACAAAGGTTGCCAACCCTACTACATAATAAAGTATCCAACTATAAGAGAGGATCAAATAGGACTATATTTCTCAAAAAAAATATGTTTATAAGGCGAATCTACTATACTTTGCTTAAATACATATGACAGTTAAAGCTTTCTTAAAAATAAAAAAAATCTTTATTAAGGCACAGCGCAGCAAAAATATATTCATTTCAAAGCTAAAGTAAACATTTAAACCACATACTATATTTATTTTCAATATTTTTGCCGTCATTTATATTTTTAGAGGTATCAGCAATATAGTATTTTTACTATATTTGATAGGATAAAAGTTGGTAACCTAGGGCTGACACAACCACACATTACATTCAAGAAAGAAGATTGATATATTTTTTTTTCATTTCTACATAAATATGTGGTTAGCTAAAGAAACAAGAAACAAAGACAAAAGAATTACAATAATTCGCTTTTTAAATGTAATAGTTTTAATAAGAACACTATTCTTTTTTACTTTTGTATTGACTTCAATTCCTAAGGTGTTAGTATTACAAATCCTTACTTTTCTTAAATTATGAATTAATATTTTATCCTAGCGGCCGCCCGCGACTTTGTACGCGTGGAGTTATTTGCACATGCTTTTTGACCCCTGTTCACTGCTCGTTCCCCGTAGGTGTTAGCGTGATAATATGTAGCCTATATGTTGACTCGCCTTCTTAATAATATTCGTACCAAATTTGAAGTAAATCCATGCAGTACTTCTTGAGTTTATCCCGGGCATGCATACAGACAAACAGACAAAAATTCTGAAAACT